CATATACATATACATATACATATACATATACATATACATATACATATACATATACATATACATATACATATACATATACATATACATATACATATATGTAAAGAATTGAGAGGTTGGTTTTGTCGTCAAAGGGTTTGGTACTCGTGGCTCTCCATTACCGTCGGGTGCTTTATTACAATCCTTTAACAATACGCACTATATTTCCTTTTGTCGATGTAGAGATCTAATCCTAGGTTTTATTTATGTTTAATTATTAAAGCAAAAGCTTTTCCTTTTCTTTATTAAAAAAAAACCCTACTTTTAGACATGTATTCTTGCACTATTTGAGCCCCAAAAGACCGGTTTAAAAAATAAATCAATACCAAATGTCTTCTGATCATAACATGTCTCTGCTTCAACACACGTCTTTTTATAGATTCATACTGAAACAACATACTTAGTTTTTATAAAGACGTACAATAGGTTTTGTATTTTACCTTAAAAAGGTGAAACATGCCACCGTCCCATAAGCAAAGTTTACATGCCATGCATATTCGTTTTTACTGTTTTGCAGCCTAAATATGTCGTGCTGTTGTATTGCATGTTCTTTTCTAGTTCGGAAAATGCATACAAATGTTAGAAAATAATTTTTTTTTGAATAATTGTAAGTATCTGGACTAGTTTGTGTGCACTGATTAATCCGTAGAAGATCATGAAAGAGTTGGAGTCATCGTAGATGAATATACATGGCTATAAAGGTTTTAACAGCATCTGGATTCAAACCCGAAGATGGAATTTATGACACCCTTTTTAAGTTTTTAACCAATACGTCGTAACCTATTTGGTTAAGTTTTATAAGTTTGATAGAAATTTGTAGATTTGCATTTGAGAAATTATGTATACTAACTAGGGGTGTTAATGAGTTGGGTTGATCGAGTTGAAGACATTTGAACAACTTAATCTAATGCTTGCGATTTGAAATTTTTTAACCCAACCTAACCTAAACTGTATGGGTTGATCGGGTTAGTAGGGTTGATGCTTTGATACATTAAAATGTTCTTCTAACATTTAATATGTTATTTCTCTACTCATAATTTCGTTTTCATCATTAACCATTTGATACAACTTATCCATATTTCTTATGTATATCACATTCAATTAATTTTCTCAATTTACATATATATGTTCACAGTTACTGAACATATATACGAATTACTTTTATAGAGATGGAGACTTAATTGAAAATATGTATATATCAAGAGCGTATGTGATAGCGTAATTGTCTAATGTATATATTAATATAAACTCAACAATCATATTAAATCCAAAAAATAAAATGATATCGAGTTCATCGGGTTGGGTTGTATTCAAATAATAATAACCCAATATCAACTCAATACCTACGGTTTAAAAATTTTACAACTCGATCAAACATCATGTTGAATTATTTTACGTTCAGTTGGGTTGGATTGATCGGGTTGGTCGGGTTTTTGAGCACCCCTGATACTATCACTACAATTAAAGTTGTTGTATATTTTTATTTAACAATTTTTATAAAATTTAATTAAATAAATAAAATCTTAAACCAAATGTCACTATCTTGGTCATTAAAAAATGGATTAAGAATTGTTTCGTACGGAATTTTAGCCTTTAATATTATTAGTCATCATTTTTAGTACATTAATTTATTATTAAAAAAAAAAACAAAGCTGGCAAATTAAAAGAATAAATTCTTGAAAATGGTGGAAATTAATATTTTTAAAACATAACAAAAGGTTGTGCCTTAAAATAGGGTTTTGGAGCACCAAGATTTAGGTAGATTGTATCTATCAAATAAAAAAGCTCATACATAATTTGCTCTAATTCATTACGATATTTATTTTTTAGATTCACATATGAATCTTAATCTGGTTTAGACTTTTGATTATCAATGTAATTTGATTCATTTACTAGTTATGATTAAGATTCACATGTGAATCTATATTAGTATTAACATATTTATATATGAATATTAAACTGATTTAAAATTTTAGGTATAAGTTTTAAATTGATTTAACTACAAGTTATGATTAAGATTCACATATGACTTTATATTAGGATTCACATGTGAATCTATGTCAGGGCTTACATATTCACATGTAAATCAATACACACCTAACTATCACTTTTTGATAATGGTTTGTTGGTATCTTTTGCATTTGGTTATATTTCAAATGACGAATGAAAAACATCGATGTTTATGTTCACATATGAGATTTATGTAATTGAGATTTACTTCGACTTGTAGATTGTAAAATCGTCAATAATTTCAAGGTGGAAAATTGGAGAAAAAGTTGATGATTATCAATATTCAAAAAATAGATAATAAATTATGATATTTTATTTTTTTTCCATAGTTATCTTAATTAGTGAGAAAAAGACTTGAAAATCAAAATTTTAAACTAGTAATCGAGATTGCTTCACCCATTTTTGTGTTTCTCATTTGAACCTCTGTGTGTGTGTGTGTGTATGTATTCAAACGAAAACATGATCAAAATAAGATAATACGAGAACGTCAAATCACATGTGATTTTGCATTGAAACACAGCAAACGAAACAAAGTCAACAACAAGGGTGCGAGCGACTTGGTTGCAAGAAGTGTTTTTACACATGAGTTTAGTGTAAATCACATGTGATTTGTTCGTTCTCGTGTTGTCTTATTTGATTACCATTAAGTTTCCGTTTGAACCAACTATATATACATATATACATATATATATATATATATATATAGGGTTGGGTTGGGTTCACGTGAGACCAAGGGTTTTTCGTAAGACCCGTAAGACCAATTTATGTTCATTGATCAACTTTATAATCTAATGATCTAACGGTATAAAGTTGCAAGGTGGCAATTTTGTAATTATTGAGAAGTGTCGTGGAGTTTATGAATGTTTAGATCTGACGATTGTAAATCTAATCCAAGGGTTGAGAATTGGTCTTACGGGTCTCACGAAAAACCATTGGTCTCACATGAT